ATTTTTGTAAAAAAAATTTTGAACAGTGGTACTTTTGGATTTTTTCCGGGAAATAGACCTTCAATTTCTACATTCTTAAGTACAATGTCAAGGGTTGAAGTTTAATCGCAGTGTTGTATTGATTATCAAATCCAACATACAATTTCTGGGGTTGAAGGATGAAATTCCACATAGACATGTTGAGCATTTTCTTGCCTTCACTAATAGAATCAACATATAATTGGGGTGCCCCATGAAGCCATACACCTCCGGCTATTCCCTTTTTCACTCGGAGGAACACGAAGGTGGCTCCTTCGTCAACCGCGTCATTCTATAACTTCATTGGCATACTTCTGCGACAAGTTTCTCAGCCGATATTACCCTCCCTCCAAAATGGCTTGGTTACGGAATGAGATATTTAGTTTCACTAACAAAGTGGAAAACCTTTAACCGAAGCATAATTCATTTCTCAAATGCTTACATCATGGATTCCAAGACCTAAAATAGGTCAATATCTTCTCTAGTGACATGAGAAGCGAATGTAGGAAACAGATAGCTATGGCAGGAGAAGGTTCAATGAGAAACGAGAAACCAGAAGATGTGCAAAAGTTATTGGAAGACATGAGTGAAAAATGGGCATGAATGGGAAGATGATTCGGTAAGTGAAGGAAAATCTTCGAATTGTGCATGTCATTATGATCTATTCTCTTCAATGGCTGATAAGATTTGCCACTTAATCCAGATAGTGGAGACTCTGAAAATTTATTCAATGATCTTAGAGTGGAGACATAGGAGTTCACTTCCCCCCAACAATCAATTGGACAATATCTAGGTATGGAATGGAATCAATATCTCTATGAGTTGAGCCACAACCTAAATTCGATTTTCTTACATACCAAAATCAATCGTACTTCACATATCACTCAACTAGAGGGAATTTGAGGATTATCATTCGTCTTATAACATGTTTGTCATGAATGCACACAAAATTAGGTCACATATTATCAAATTTGTCATAAGCAGGGATGACAATTATCCACCCATGGGTAATTTATCCAAATCTAATTAAAATCATTGATTATGTGTAGGATATAGGTGAAGCATATATGAGTTTGAGATTTTGTAGATGGGTTTGGGTAGAGTATGAGTATTGCTTCCATACTCGAAATGGTCATTGGTTGGGTATGGATGTCATTTACTTAAGGTTATTTTAACTACATACAAAAATTGAAACTATTTGTAAAACTAAAAAAAGTTTAGGTATCAAAACATAAAACAAAACATTTAGGTTCTAAAGTGTAATTAGGTATCAAAACATAACACAAAAAAATTTTAGGCACAATCTAAAGATCTATTAAGTTTAGTTATTTAATTGTAATTTGCATATTGATATGGGTACAAATCCAAATTCATGTTTTAAAAACCCAAGTCAACCCAAATAAATGGGTATGGGTATAAACCCATCAAACTCTACCAATTTAACATGTATTTGGATTTCAAATTCATCTCAATTGATTTGGATAGTAAAATACCCATGAATTTTGGTAAAATTGGCATCCCTATTCATAAGTACCTATTGACGACTAATATAGTCGTGCATAATTATTTAGGTTCTGAAAGAAAAATAGTTGTTTCATATGTATCCCCAAAGGAAATAACCATATATGAGAATAATGCATGAATTTTGCCCATCAAATAAAAAATGGAAAGGCAGAAAAGGACATTGGTCGACTAGTAGTCGATCCAAAGATAAGAGGATTTGCTGGTCAAAATATGATCAACCGTGTTAAACCTAGGAGGCACACAACTACAACGAAGTTAAAACCTAAACCTCTTTCATAATAGCTCCCCCAATGCGTGCGGTGAATCCTTCGTATTGACCATCTGAATGATCAACTATGCATTACCCACAAAACATACAATTAAAAAATGAATGTGACAAATACCAATGAAGAATATTCCGAAGATCTAAAGTTGACACAGACACAAACTCAACAATCCGATGTGCTGAGAATTCTACCTGAACCAGATTTCATTCATATAAATAATATGTTTGGAGGCCAATTCCCACTCGATTTCTTAAAAATAAATTTTTGGTAATAAAATCGCCACTTGATTATTGTTAGGGATGACAATCAAACCCATGACTGTGGGTACCTGATTCTGGTCTAAATGTACACATTTTACCCCTTATTTCTTCGCCGTTATGCTTAGTTGATCACCGTCCCTCGACCTATTTTACGCTAGGTTGTGCTTGTTTTGGTACATTTCAGGTTCTAGCACGTATAGGAAGGTCTGGGATGAGTTTCGGGTCATTCGGAGGTCAAAAAGAGCCCAAAAGTGGAGGCTGAGCCCTGTTCATGGGCTGGAGCTTCAGTTCACGTATCTAAGATCGTGAACTGAAAGCCCATACCGTGAAGTGACCAATTTCCAGAACGGTTTTCGAAGTTACTATCATCAAGTCAGTTCACGGTCTCTAAGACCGTGAACTGAAAGCCTAGACCGTGAAGTCGTCAGTTCACTGTCTAAAACCGTGAACTGAAGCACGCGGACGTGAACTGAAGCACCCGGTCGCGAACGAGGCCTTGTCGTGCAAATTTAAAGACAGCAGCGGGGAGAGGAAAGGGGTGCTGGTTTTTGGAGAGGGATTCGATTCTCTCTAGGGTTTCAAACCAAAACGCCAAAGGGGAGTTTTAGAAAGAGAGAGAGTGCTTGAGTGATCTTGGAGTTTAATTGGAGGCTTGGGTTGATCTTTAAGACAAGGATTCAAGCTTAGAAAAAAGAAGAAGCTCCAATTTGTAATTCTCTCTTCTCTCTCTAGAAACTCGTCCTCTTCTCTTGGTTTAAGAACCCTAGGTCTAGATTTGGGTTTAATGTTGATGTATGTGACACATTCCATGTTTGATTGATGATTTTACTTAATTGATGGATGTTTTCTTGAATGACATGAGTTGGGTTTCCATTTTCACGTATTGAGCTTAATTTTGACCTAGGAGGGATAAAATCCCCTTAGAGCCCATTATTGGCGTCTTCGGGCCACTACTCACCCTATATCGTCCGGGTAATCTCCGAGTGAGTCGATTCCATCAATCTCGTACGATATAGGATTTCCCTAGGTTGAATAGAACCTACCGCATTCATCAATTCGCCGTTCCGGGTCATTCCCGAGGGAGTCCATCTCCTAACGGTAGAGTAATTGAGTCAATCGAGCTTTTGACCTAGGAGGGAAACAACTCCTCACCCCATATCGTCCGGTTAATCCCCGAGGGAGTCGATTGGATCGATCTCCTACGATATAAGGGTGCCCTAGGTTGAATAGAGCTCCTACCCATCCATCACTTCAACGTTTTGGGTCCGTCCTGAGGGAGTTCATCTCCTAACGGTAGGATACTGGGTCGATCGAGCTAGGATGGTACTCAACATCGATCATATGACGGAGCTAGGAGGATTCAAACCAATGGAGCTCCCTACCTTGTAAATAGCTAGGGTTAGTGGTTAGTCTAGGTTAGTTAGTTTAGTTGTATTAATCATTATCCTAGGTTGGCTAGATAACAAACCTTAAACCTGAAGTAGGATAAGCCTAGATCCCCGTGGTATGATAAATTCTTATTACTTGCTTGCCCTACGCTTCACTCGGGCGGCGATTATACTTGGCCATCGATCGGGATGTTGTAGTTAGAACGAGTCAGTACCCAACCGCTCCCGATCCAGTCAGTGCGGGAAATCCCCGCATTGACTGGGTATGGGACGGGTATGGGTAAAACCCGCAAAATGTTTTATGGGTTTGAGGTGGGTATGGTATTCGCCTCCTCCGCCCCATACCCCGCCCACAAAGAGCATTACTTCGCTTATAAAATTGTAACATATCAACGATAGTGACTTAGTGAGGGCAACTTAAGAAAATAAATAGTAGAAATGCAATAGAGTGGCTAGTCAAATCAAAACCTAATTCGTTTTCCTCAACTCTCCTTTCGCTCTTTCACTTTTTCCCTCGCGTTAACAAGATTATCTTAGTTTGTTATTACTTAGTAGATGTATCAGAGTCAGTGAATAATGATTTGAATTACAGTACACTCTATCTTATGGATTAAAGGATGTTTTAGGATAAGATGCGTTGAACCGTATTAAGAATGATTGTCTTTTTGTCGACTTCATGATATGGTAGGTGCGTTTAATGTTATGATTGCCCATTTGAATGAGCTAGAAAAGTTCGGAAATAAAGAGGTCGTTTGGTAGATGCGTATCTAAATGATGTATTTAATGAATATATGTATTGTAGAGAATGCATTTTCTTACAAAATAAAACACAATTCATGTATTTAATTGTTGATGTGACATTTGAAATCATTCAAAATGAATGATTTAGAATCTCAACTATTTGGTGAGATTGTTGAGATTGCATTTTGAGATGATGAATCAACTTTTCTTCTCTTTTATGCCTTTTTCTTCTCTTTTATTTATGCATTTATCAACTTTTATACGTGATTGACTTTTATATCTAAAATGAAGGATAATGTGACTTTTCATTCAAAAAGTGATTTTCCTACTACATTCCTAAAAATACAATCACAACTATCAAACGTTGTAATCTTAAAATGCAAGCATTTAACCAATACATCAATTTATAATGCATGCATTCATACAATACATCAATTTTAACAATCACAAATACCAAACTAAAAAGAAACAAGGATAGAAATTAGAAAGTGAACCAAGAATAATTTAGGGCATATAAGATAAGTTTCTTAATTAAGGGTATGATCGAAAAAGTTGGATAGTTTGCACCCCAAAAAAAAAGTTGGATAGAGCCAACATTTGTTTTATTTAATTAAATACGAGCCAAAGGTTGTCCAATGTCCATAGATAGGCCGCCACGTCATCGTGCAGCCCAACAATGTTAATTCCTGTTATTTCATGATTGGACTGTCACACGTATGCCTGCAAACCGTCGTCACGATATCATCATTTTTTCATATAATTTTTTCCTTTTTCTTTTGTCAAAACACGTACGGACGGATATCCCACGGCAACGAAGTTCTGTATTTTAGTGCCTTTCTTTTCTGCAGATCTGAATTCTGGAAAGTTTTCTGCAGCTTAGATGAAATTCTGGTTAGATACACAGCTTGTTTGATCGAGAAATGGTTAGAGGAATCATCAATTGATTGTCGATTTCTCTTTCGAACAATCTGCTGCGAAGGGGGGAATTCTCATTTCTGGGCTGTGTATTTGGGGGTTTCTCCGTTGGATTTTATGCTTCTAATCTGGCAGCATGAGGAAGAAGCTCGATACCCGCTTCCCGGCTGTAAGTCTCTGCCCTTCTTCCGAGTGGGTTTCTATTCTTCGATCTGGAATTTCTGTGTCTGTTTGGTTTGCCGTGGAAAAGATGTAGTTTTGACTTTTTGATCGATTAGTTGGTGTTCCGATGTTTGGCTTGCCCATTTCTGGGTTTTCTGTTTCTTCCTCATTTCGTGGCTTGGAATTGGTTTTCAGCTACTGGGTTGCTGTGAATTGGGAGGAAGTGAGGAAAAGGTACAGACTTGAAAAAATGAGGAGTGAGACGATTTGCGACTAATTTCTGCTTAGTTTGGCCGCCTTGCATGATTAATAGAATCTTACCTGGCTTTTTACTCTTGCAACGCTGATGTTCTGCTCACAGTCCAATTCCTGGGAAGTGAAGTTCTGATTAGTTGATAATTCTCGTTTTGCTAGAGTTTGCTAATTGCTATTAGGGGTTGACTGTTCTCTCTCTATGTATCTGTGTTTCTTTTCCTGAGTTTCTTAGGCTGTCTTGTTGTTCATTCATTGGCGTTCTTTGGTTATGAACTTTAACTACTTGTTCAGAATGGGTATAGATGGGATGGTTTAGGGCTTTGTTAGTGAAGTAATTCTTTGATGTCCTATTCCATTCAAAACTAGTGAACTGAATTTCGGTGGTGAATTTAGGACTTCTAATTTACCTTTTGTCACTAGCTTTTATAGCAAAGTTCGCATCGCTAATTTTGTTGAATTTGAGTTCTACCTAAGGTGACAGAAGACCGTCTCTGATCGAAAGTTAAGCTCATTTTGTATAGTATTGTATAATTACACGTAGCTTGTGTGTTTTAATGCTCATTGGTAGGTTGAACTTGGCCTTGTTATGCTTACAGAATCAACATCTATTTGCAGTGATTTCTGGGCTCAGTTTTCTGAGGCTCTATCATGACAACTTCAATTGTTCTTTCTTGACACTGTCGTTGTATGCTTTTAAATAAACACTGCTGCAGTTGACTTTCTTGAAACTTTTACAGTTACTAAAATTTGGATGTTCTCATCTGGCTTTAACTAGTGTCCTGAGAGATTGATGCTTACTTAGTAGATTTAGTGCGTGGAAATACTATTCACCATCAATTGTGTGTGTGTGTGTGCGCGCGCGCGTGTGTGTGTGTGTGTGTTTTCTTTTGTATTGGGATTTAAGGGGCAGCTATTTATTTTGACAGGCTCGAATAAAAAAAATCATGCAAGCTGATGAGGATGTTGGCAAGATAGCCCTGGCAGTGCCTGTCTTAGTGTGTAAGTAGTGAGACATTTGTTTTGGTGGCTTCAGAATTTAATTCTGCATTGTTAGTACTCATGTTCTGTGAATGTTTGTGCAGCTAAAGCATTGGAATTGTTTTTGCAAGACCTTTGTGATCGTACTTATGAAGTTACCCTTCATAGAGGAGCAAAGACCATGAGTTCACTCCACCTGTAAGTAACTCCTTTGCTGCTTTGTCAGAAGGAGTTAATGTTTATCTGGTCAAATGACTGGATTGATGATATCATGTCATAGGCTCATAGCAATCTAATAATTGACCATCCAGTTATATATCTTTTTTAGATTCAAGACCCTCCAGTTATATATCATCTGACCATCTGGCTTCTTCTGATAGTCCACTGGTAGTGTTGCCTAGTTAAATGACGTAGAAAAATCTCATTTAACTACGGGGCTACTTTTTCCCTTCTTTTTCTTTCGTCAAATTCTCCATCTTTGTGAAGCTCTTGATGGTTAGAAGATTAAAATTTTGGTTTCTATCCCCCTCGATAGTTCTTGTCTTGCTTTTGTTTAGCTCAAAGATTCGATTACCTCAATTATACACTAAACGTCTGTTGTATCTGTCTTTTATGCAGAAAACATTGTGTCCAAAGCTATAATGTGTTTGATTTTCTGCGAGAAATTGTTAGCAAGGTTCCTGATTATGGCCATGGTCATGGCCACCCTGATGCACCTGCGGATCACAGAGTCCTTCATAAGAGGTCAGTAGCTGAGAATTTTTTTTCAACCTGGTTTATGTTATCTTCTCGGATGGGTTATTCAGAGCAACTTATTTTCAATTGGTTGACCACATATGTTTTAACAGGAAGCCCATTATGGATGAAGGCAATGAGAGCGATGAAGAAATGAAGAGAAGCAGGATGGTAAGATTGTCCACTTTAGTATTGGTGATTTGAATTTTAAACAATGTTGGTTCTCGTAATTTTTACCCTTATTTTCATATATAGTAATCACACTGTCTAGTTTTATCATCCCAAAGTCGTATGAGTCTGCCATTATTACTCAGCTTTCCTTGCATGCAGAAGTGTTTTTGAACTTAATATGCGGGTGTTTGTTTGCTTCCATTGTAGCATGATACAAGCCACACAGTCGTTACTGGTCGAGGGAGAGGTCGTGGTCGAGGGAGAGGTCGTGGTCGAGGTGCTCGAAACGCGGATAGAGAATTGGCTCATCGTGAGGCCGACTCTGAAGCTGCTTGTACTACTCCCGCGGCAACATCCCAGTTCCTGGAACGATGATATGGAATGGATTCAAAGGAGATGTTGGTGAAAGAGCCTATGGAAGCAGTTACAGATGGTACAGCCAATCAACCAGAACGAAACTTCGATCTTAATGCTGAGGTCAAAGACAACAATGAAGACACGAAAGCTGCAGCAGCAGCCGCGTTGCCAGCTTCTTCAGCAATAGGTCCTGTGCCTGCTGGCCAAAGTTCGTCCACGGCACCAGAAACCACCACCCACGAAGAATATCCAGGTTGGTCGCTTTCAGAAGTCGACAAGATGGCTATTGATCCCTTACAGCTGGCCCAGATGAGCACGAGGATGGACGAAGAGGAAGAAGACTATGACGAAGAAGGATGATTTATGATGTCTCTTATCAGTAATAGTTATTGGTCTCGCGTAGTTCGTAGAACCCATCTGCTAACAGAAAACCCAATGATGTCCTAGTAGGGATCTGTCTACTATTTGAGAAGAAGACAGCAGTTTGTGTAATGTAAGAATCTAATGTTAGGAGCAGCTAGCCAGCCAGCATCCATGATGGCCTTCCTCTGTCAATGTGCCGTCCAAGAATGTTGTTATTATGCTCGTCTCTGTTGTTATTGTTGTTTAGTGAATCTCATCTCCTTGGTTGGTAGTAGTGAATCTCTTCTAATGTGAGTATTGCATAAGTCGGGATTTCACGAGTGAAAGACTGGTGGTTCATGTAGAGCAGAAACTGTTGGAGCTAGATTTCAGTTTGGCTTGGTTTGGAATCCGTGAGCACAAGAATCTAAACTAAATTGCTTCAATCTATCCTAGTTTGATCTGAAATGATCTTCGAATGCTGAAAAGAAGAGAATGATCTACACAATACGACAGGAAGTCTATATAGCATATCATCCATTACAGGTTCACAAGCAAACCATAAAGTTCCTGGTTGCTACAGGATCACACTCTTAAAACATAAGCAAAAGCAAACCATAAAGCTGTTGGAAGGTTTCTACAAGCTCACACTCTAAAGAAATAAGCACATATATGTACACAAATCAGTGAGTTGGCTCCATATGATTGAGATGGAAAGTGCCTTCAGTAGTCTTGTGCACTTCGACCTTCAACTTCTCTTCGGTAGTCCCTCTCTTCACCTTGAGCACCATATGAAATTTCGCAGCATCGTCCACCACCTGCAGCATTGCGAAATTTAACCAGCACAAATATAAGGATGGAGTTGCGAGGGGACGACGGAGATGAAAGGACAGATGGGAAGTGATACAAAGTCGCAACAAACCTCAGCTTTGGCATCAACAACTTCTTGAAGTTCGTAAGGAAACAATGAGTTGGAGCGCTGCTGAATTGTCTTCAGAGCATGATCAGCTGCATCTTGAACAGCAGGGTCATGAGGTGCCACATCCCTCAACCCAGATCCATGGCATCCTGAAATACGCACCCAATAGTATTAACTCAAATGAAATCAGGGCACAAGCCTCAAATTTTCAATCTTCCCGTCTACCCTATATATGATTTCATAGTTCATCAAGGAAAAACGATGAATCAATATAGTTTACTTCACCAAACTCACTGGTATCAACTGCTCCGATAAGGGTTGGAAGCTTTTGGTAATTAGAAAAAATGCTAAGAAATGGGATTTGAGGGGAGAGAAGGGAGAAGGAGAAAGCAAACCTTTCTTGGCGCCAAGATCAGAAGGGGTGAGCTGCGGGGAATCACCAGCGTGCTTGAACTCCTGCAGTTCCTGGAAGTTCATCCATGGCTTCACCCACACTTTGGCTTCGTAGAGCTTCTTCTTTCCAGCATCAACCGCCTCTATCACCAGATGATGAAGCGTCCCGGCGACGACTTGCTCTTTGGCTTCCACAACCCTCAGAAACTCCACCACCGCATTCTGATTTCTCACCATCAAAAAGGGGGGAAAGAAAGGAACAATTTCATTCACCAAAACAGAGAAGCGCGACAGATGGAAATCAAAAACAAAACGGAAAGCGGTAGATCAATCTGCGGCTCACCTGCTTCTTGTTGTGCTCGTCGACGGCGAACCGAGCAAGACCCTCGATTTCAGCGCTGTTGGCGGAGCCGGCGGGGGAATCGCGAACGCCTCCGAGGGTAGGGGTGGCGGCGGCCATTTGATCGGGGCGGTGGTGGTGTTGATCGGCGATTTGGCAGAGACTGGCGATCGCAGGAGAGGCAGAGAAGAGTAAGAGAAGCGTGAGAGTGAAGAGTGGGGAAGTGAGGAGATCCATGAAAACCGGTAGTGTTTTTATAGATTTCTCTTCGAAGTTTTAGCGCGTTTTGGGATCGACGGTAGGAGAACGGAGCCGAAGCGCTGCCGCTTCGCGTCTATTTGTCCTTTTTTTCAGGCTTCCCCCGCTAAGTTTACAGCGTGGCACGCTGTGATTTCGACACGTGGAGATTGGATAGTGTCTTCGCTTAGTGAGTAAGCCAACGGGGGCGATGACTGTAGCTGTAGTCTGTAAGTGTACACCCCTCGCCGTTAAATGTAACGTCGTCAGTCGTCACTCCTTTTAGAACCTGGGCCTCGTTTTAAGAAGTCGTAAATCCAAATAATGAGGCACCTGGAGTGGGCCGATCTTGTGACCTGTTTAATAAAAGGTTTAGTGGGACCAAACACTTTTAAATATTTAGTTTTAAAAAGGTGAATGAAAAGTGTTTTTGTTGGAATTTTTTGAAATTTTTTCTTGAAAATACAATATTATCATATTTTAATTTTACTTTAAAAAATATTATTTTATTTATATTATTTTAAAAATAAAATAAGTTTGAAAATTATATTATTTAATATGAAAATATCTAACAAAATCTATTTTTACTACTTTTTATAGTATATATAATTTTTATTCAGTTCATTATAAATTCTATTAGTCATTTTACATAATTTCTTATATTAAAAAATACTTATAAAATTTTTTCAGACTTCCACCAAACACTCAATTTTTTTTTTTAAAGTACTTCTCAAAAAAACTCCAGCCATCAAAAGCTACTTGTGCAAATACTATATCAGAGCCAGTTCATTAATTCTCCACATCCACCAGACCACCACTCAAAAATCACAACTTTCAAATGAGGCTCTTGTTTGTTTGGAGGGGATATATGGTAACGCCGATCAATTAGTGCATATTGATATCATTGATTTGTACTTTCAGAAGTTGTGAACGTTGAATGACAATTCGGGGGAATATTTATGGGTGAGATAGCATGTCTACCCCTAAAAGGATTGGAAAAATGACACCTCTTATTAATTATATGATTTTCAGATAATTAATTTGTGTTACATTTAATAATATGTCTAGATTAAAAACACATATTAATTCCTTTCCTTTTTTAGTGCAATGGTAGTTCTACCAGTGCAATAATATCAGTGTACAAGTGCAATGGTATTTAAAAAAAGGAATGTAATTAATATTATTTCAGTGTACAGGTACAATGATAATAGTATCACTGCAATGGTATTTAAAAAAAAGAATATAATTAATATGAGTTTTTAATTAGCAAAGATTATTAAATACAGCACGAATTTAATACCATAATTAACTATAATTAATAGAGAGTGTCATTTTTCCAACCTCGAATAGAGGTTATCCAATATTTATAGACTATCCAACAATATCAGTATGGGGTTTAGATTTTAAATATAAATAATAAGTAATTACGTATTTGATTTGGATGTAAGATTTGAATGATGAATTCTGCTCATACCAATGGAGACAAAAAAAAACAATTTGCTAGAAATGGTTGCCAAATATCTGGAAGGCAAAAGTCAAAGAAGACATACACATTTGACTTATGAGTATTAACTTAAGAACTACCGTAAAAAAAAAAAAATATATATATATATAAGTGTCAAATTGTAGCGTCTGCAAAATATCAGCAATGAATCCCATACTTGAACATCAATACATTGAAGACTGTCAGTAACTCAGCACGCCAAACTACAACCCCGTCGGCTCGCAAGTCACAACCTGTTGGGCGTACTTGTTGTTCTGTTTCAAGGTACCAAGATGTTCTTCGACATCAAACATGAAAATACAGGTACAAGACAGCAACATCACCAACGCTCCCCTTCAGAGGAGGTAAAAAAAACCATAAAACCTTCTAAAAACGTTCTGCACATCAACAAACGCTATGTTAAAAAACACTTCTGATGGGGGAGGACGAAAACCACGAGGGGCTCTCACCAGCAAACCACAAATTGGCCGGGGGCAGAGAGAATGCTTCGGAAAAAAGACACAACCTGGGTTCTTCAGAAACAAATATGTACAGGTCCTTCTCTCCCGGGCATTGATGACGAGCGCTCTCCCTTGAACCAGCACTCATGTAAGTAAAACCTCCTCTTCCATTCCTGATGGTAAGTAGCGAGCAAAGGAAAACTGGGAAACGGTTCCACCATATCATTAACTGATGGACCCGAGAAACATTGCACTAAACACAGTAGACATATACGTTATTTACAGGCAGCAGTTGAGTTGTTTTGTTCTTCTTTTTCTTTTGTATTATTCAGTGGCTTCTCCTCACAAATAGGATTTGTGAAGCAGTCGATTTAATGTCAATCCCTGACCCTGATTGGATCCTCACCTGTGATTTTTGGGGTCAAATAGTAGTCAGAATCAATAACTTTACAGAAGATGTTAGGAAGAGCTAAACGCCTAGTAATAGAATAGTTCTCTCATTAAAAGAAGCTGGAAAAGCAGAAAACCAGGTTTGTCTAACCATCATGGTCAATATATTCGCATACACAAAAGGAAGAACGCATCGAAACGCTATCCCCATCAAGCATTGTAAAGCAACTACCCTATGCATTGATTCGTTTTCACTTATTCGTTTACTAAAGCAGAGTACAGGTAGGTATAAAGCCAACAAAAGAAAAGCAGAACATTTTTGTTAAACCAAGAGGAGAAGCACGAACCTCGTAGGATGCAATCAATGAAGCAAGCATAGCACCCACTCCAGTGATCACGGGTTTCTGACACGCGCAGGCACGTACACCAGAACCAAAAGGAAGAAATGCAGGATTGTTTGTAGGATCATTCAGAATCAGTGGGCCTTTAGTTGCATTAACTTCTTCTGTAGTCTCTGGAACATTTTCAACATAAAGCTTATTAATTCCTGGTCAGCCCTCCTTAGTGGCAAGTATTACTCAAACTCAAGCCTCCATGAGGTAAATATAATGGACCGCAATTTTTTTCCAAAAGACAAAAAATCAAGAATACTAAGATTCAAGGACAACAGGAATACATTAAAAGAGTCAAGATCCTGCCATCATTTGAGGAACAGAGAACTAAGGAGAACCCAAGGCTCAGATGCCTAGAGCAAAAACTAGCATTTGCAACTTGACTGACCACAAATAATATGAACAATAAAATGCCCACACTGGCCAACACAATCTACAATTAAGTAGGTGAAGAATCTACTAACCAACTTATGCAAACAATTCATATAAAGATTTAACAAATACAACATGCTATGGAGAGTGATGTTCCAACCCGGAACAAATGTCTCCTGCATTAAATTAGAAGACTTTCTAGATTTTGAAAGAAAGCGATAAGGGTTAAATTTTTCAGCATCAGAACCCCAATAGACTTCTCCATATGCAGTAGTTGCACAGGCACGATGAGTACAGCTCCAGCTGGTATGGTGACACCAGATTTTAGATCCAAGTCTAGCAATTGGGGGGGGGGGGGGGGGGGGGGGGGGGGGGGGGGGGGGGGGGGGGGGGGGGGGGGGGGGGGGGATGGACAAATTAGTATATAGTATGATAGAAGTTGGGCATGACAAAGAAATCATAACCAATAAATAGACAGACAAATACCAAATATTTACCGTCTTTCAGAGAACATATCTGAAGTACAAGTCCACTCGCCAGAACACGGGCTGACTCATATATTGTAGCCAATAACAAGGGCATATTTACAGCACCATGACTTTCTTTTTCTGAAACTTGTCGTAACATGGTTATTTCTGTGTATACCTGCAGAAATTCAAAGTTTAGATAGAGGAAAATCTAGCAAGATAAAGCATAACTGCACAAAGCCTCAACATTCTTTCTGTCAGTAAAACAACTCAATAGAATAAGAAAACATCACAATACCTTGTGTTGTATCTTGGGATTTGTGGCCATCCTTTCTAGTACAGCACTAATCAGACCAGCCGTAGACAGGCACCCATGAAACATGATCCCCATAATGTTCCCACATAACTCTTCTGCTGAATACTGGTGGCTGTCGATTTCCAGAAGGGAAAGCTGATCCTGCAAGAAATCCCTAGGAGAAGATATCCCATCCTTCTTGGAAAATGAAGCAGTTTTGCCATAACACATCTGACCACTCCCATAATATATCTTGTCATTTTTCCTACATAGCTGCATTAACTCTCCAGTCAAAGTTTTCAACTCTGTACATAGGGATTGGAATCTCCAAAACTCCTTTTTCCAAAAGGGTTTGATGGTATGTGAAGCCTAGAATGAAGCATCTTTAGCGATCTCCATCAGAAACTCCTCATAACAAGTAGCCTTGGGCCAAGTGACAAAAGAATCTCCGAAGAGCAAAGTCCCCAGATAAAAAAATGCAGCATGTTGAGAAAACATTCTGCAATCTACAATTCCAGACCTCATACTCTTGTCCAGCCTATCCATCATATAGTTCACAACTCGCCCTAGTAATTTTCCATTTAGTTCTAGTTCCAATGTTTCTCTTCTCTGTTTTGCCTGAAACAAGAATATGTTGAATTCATGTCAGGGAAGGTAATGGAAAAGAACTAACACTATAGCCATTAACAAAGGAAAGTTATCAAGCCATAAATAGCTGGAATGCAACACTGGTTGTCTCGGAAAACAACTGAACATCAATAGCGAGAAAATTCAATAAGGCAGAGCTCATAGATACATATGAATGATCTGAGGTCACCTTACAGAAATGACTGTACTTTCTTTTCTTAATGAATTTCCCCTGTAAGGGTTATAGAGCAACATATGAATGATCAAACCTCGGTCATACCTGTTCATAGGGGCAGACAAAGAGGCTCGATCGTCCAAATGCCAAACGGAAAGCCTTCCCCGTAAAGGGCAATTTGTCTTGAGCCTTGGAAAGAACCTCCCTTACCAACGTTGGATCCTTTATGGATACCATGAGCTGAGTAGGTCCCAGCCATAACTTGCAAACTGATCCATATTTGTTGTGTGACTGAGACACAAATTCTGAAAGTACAAATCAACACCTGAGGTAAGCTTAACTCCCATTGCTGGCAGGAAATCATGGAGGTAAAATTAAAACATACTTAGTGACGGCTAACAATGGCAACCAGATGCTTATGCACCAGGGTTTCACTTTCTTTTCACCCCACAAATCCAAATCTCTTCATTCCACATATACCCGAAACGCCACGAAGTAAGGTGGACAGTAATGGAAACAGACACTTCATCGGCATTATTTCAGTGCCTTCCCCTCGTTTTCTCAACAACCAAAACAGAAGATCCACCGAATCGAACATTTCCACATGAATTGGCAAGTCAAATGAAGCGGTATATCAACGGACTCACTCACCCATGAAATTCTCGCGAGAAAGGAAGCCGCCGCCGCCATGGCCGAAGAAGGAGGTACAAGGCGGGTCGGGGATCTTCCTAGCCATTACCCACAACCGGAACAACTGAAGAACCCTCTCGAGCAACAGAGCGGTGATTGCGATGAGCGAAACCCATAACAAAATATTGAACTCCCTGGCGGCGTAGTTTCTAAAGAAACAGGAACCAGTTCCACCGGGACTGCAAGTTCCGACCTGCTGGTGATCGGAAGAGTGAGGTCAAGAAGATATGATTTGATGGAGCATATCCGCACGAGGAGCTGCTTTCCGCGCGCATTTTCCCTCTTCCCCTTCGCAGAGGCGGAGGCAGCCCATGTGGGCCTTATCCCGAGACAGGTAAATTTCAGAGGAAAAAATCAAACAATACTATAAAGACTTTCTCCTACCGCACCCACTTAAATCTCTTTTTCCTGGCTCCAGCGCAGACCACAGAAGGGCCCTTATGTCTATTCCTTCCTATCTACGCTACGAGAGTGAAAGTAGAAAGGACATTTTTGCCTTTACAATTAATTATTTATCTCACATAAAAAATATCAACATCATAATTTGAACCCGGGTCTCTTCAAACAAAGACAACAATCACAACCATTTACACTGAACAAATTTGTTGTGTCTTTTTTAATACAAAATATACACAAAATTCAACTCTTTGAAAATTGCAGGACTTTCCATCATGATTAGCAAGCCCAATAAGTATATCATATGTATTTTTATGGTGTTTGATACTTCAATTTTCATAGTAGAGTTTCATGTACTTTCTCAATTTTAAAATTCTTTCTCTCTCCTTAATTTTTGCTAAAGGTAAATTGGTAATTGGCTAACATGGAAAAAAAACTAATTTTGTCACTACGTGTTGTGTCTTTGCATTTTTCAATTTAAATTTTGTGGTTTTTATCTTTGTTCTTATCTCTTTCTAACTTCCTCGAAAATTCCCTCCATCTTACAATAATTTGCGCCCCTTTCACTTCCCAGTACAAGGTCCCCTTTGAAAATCAATCATCTGGTATCTCTTGGCACGCCGGTCTTATTTTTGGGGATTTAAGTTGAGCAAGTAAAAGAGTTTAATAAATAATGGAGTTGCAGAAGGAGGATTAGAAATTGAATTTTTGGTTGAAACATATGTATCTTGAGATAAAAATTTGGTTGTAAAACGAAGAGTGGTGACTATTGGATCTTTATATTTATGGCTTTTACATCTATCACAACCTATTTCTATCTTAAAACAAGGAATCATTGATTGATTTATTGAAGTAGGTCGATTCTTTATTCAACCTACTGGAACTGATAGACAAGGAGTGTTAATGTTGTGTCTTATTACTTTGATTGAGTCTATTAGTATGTTGGAGATAACCCTAATTTTGTCGTTTGCTCTCAAATTTTGATGGTCCACTCTTAGCTGAGTTGTTAGTATATAGTTGACTTGAATCAACAACTCTCCATTTCTTTTTGATTAGTGGCATATTATTCATAAAAAGAGCGCATTAGACCCTTATGTAGGATTGTGAGGTTTAAGATTTAGTTTCAAACTATCTATGGGTTGTGTGGAATTCACTTAGCTTTATCACCTCTTTCGTGACAATCAACTAAGCAATAGCATTTTAATGAGGGCTTAAATATCATTATGAAAATGAAATTAATGATACATTTTATATTTTATATTCATAAATGATGATGGTATTTTTCTGAATGTTAGACCTTTATATTCTTTCTTTATGTATCATCTTGATTGAAGGATTGTCAATAAAATTAAACCGATTGATTAGATTAAACGTAATATAAAAATATAAATAATCAAATATGAATATTCCGACCAATGGACCGGGTTATAAGCTAGTAATTATAAGGAGATTCTCCTTAGGCACCCATTCAAACTCCTTTTTCGTGGCTTCTGCGCTCATGGAAGGACCATGTTGTCTTTTCATTTTATTTGGCTGGGCCTCTAGGCCCTCTTCTTTCCAATTCCAAGCAAGCGGAGAAATATGAGATACATCTATCCTGTTACTACCACCCAGGCACCCAGCAAGCCCAGCCCATCCCAAGTTCCCATCTGATTCTCTGATGATTATAATTTTCTACTCCCTCAAAATCAATTACAACTCCTAACAGCGCCGCCCTCTCTCTAATTCCTCTCTATCTTTATTGGCGGAAATATTATTGAATAAGAGAGTCGAAGAGAAAATCTACACAATATATTATGCACTTCACTCTATGTTATTGTTGCCACCTTGCACTTTGATTGGTTCTCCTTATTTGGTGGAAGGGCAACTTTGACAATTTTTCAAACACTCAAGGGTCACTCATTATTATTGGACTTTTGATTTTCTTTTTAGTAAATGCGATTAGGATTAAGGGAAAAGAAGATTTGTTTTAAGATAAATGCTACATAATAATTATTTGAATTTTGCTCTGTGTAGATATATTTTGTGTGGTTAAGGAAAAAATAGAGGCTATCTAAAGTTGTTTAACTCCTAAATGAGATAATGCTTGCGAATTGGATTTTGAGATGGTAAAGATGATATATATCGTTGTGGCGTGGATGTTTGGGAAGAGATTTCTTCTGAATAGGTTTTTTCGCATTAGGGTTTTACGTTAAACAGATAAACCAAGCATCAACCTTCAAAAGTTTTAGAATCTTAATTTCACAATGATTTGAGCAAACATGAAGAGTAAGAAAGACGGGAAATCTTGGCAAAATACAATCAATTTATATTATTTTAAATTCTTTTAATTTTCAAATTAGCATGTCTAATTTTTTACATTAAATTGTGAAAGGTAAGATCGCATGTTTAGTCGTAGGTTAAACAATAATTTGATCCATATCGTATCGACTCGATATTTGTGTTGAATTAGATCAAACAAAAAAAATCAATTTTTTTACTCTATGTAATTGCTTAAAGTCGAGATAGTTTTATTAGAAATTTATTAAATGTAAAATACGGTCCAATGGAATAACTTAAATGCTTCTTCAACCTAACTACGTTGTTATTTACATCTGAATAGTTCCATTAACGATTAAAAAATAGTTGTATAATGATAAACCATTAATCATGAGTCATTGAAATTTTCCATCCGACAACCGCTCCGCTTTTGAAAATATAGGAAATAGTCAATAAATTATTTAAAAATATGAGCATATTGTTAAAGGTTAAGTTTGAATTATGATAACTAAAGTTCAAATGATTTAATAACTTAAAAAGGCCATTTCAAGTCAAAATATTCTTTTGCTAATATTTTTCATTTTTGTCTCTTTAAAAAATATAAATTTAGTACATCTATACTAATATTTTTTTATTTGCTTTACATAATTGTCCAAATAATCTATTTCAATATCACATTTTTTTCTCCTCGGATTTTTTTATCTTTAAACTATTTAAATGTAATACATCTATAGTAATATTATGTACATTATTTTCTTTTTAATTCAATAGATGACAATCAACAATATTTAAATTAAAATAGTAATAAGATTCTCAAAGCTTCATTTGCAAGGTAATTATTCACATATAAGGAAGATAAAAAAATTTGTTGAATTTTTTTTTTAATCAGTAATGTTTAATATCTCAAGGCATGAATATAGATTTCATATAGCTTTTCATTTAATTCGTTGTCTAACTTAAACTTCTTATGGTTATGTATAAAATGAGATGCATATTCAATAAAATTTTAAAGTTAACGGGCACTAAAAAACATAAACTATCAAAGTACTCTTTAAAGTTAACGGGCACTAAAAAACATAAACTATCAAAGTACTCTTTTGTATCATCAGTGCACAATACTAAAAATCGAACCACCTACATTTAACTAAAAAAACACCCAAATGACCACAAACCGGCCAACGGGCCGGATACAACACTAGTACACATATATGTCAATAATAGCTTATTGGAATCAATTGCCCTGAATTGTACGTGATGAAATAACGGTTTGAAACATCCCTGAGCTAATCATACTAATGCTTTTCTCAATAGCTAGCAATAATTTATGACTATATCACTGAATATAAGGAAATAATTCCATATGATTGTTATGTCGGCGAAATGCCGGTCAATTATACATGATTTAACCGGTGTCGATCATGAAACGGGTTTGAACATAACTTAAAAATTCTTGATGTTATTTCTTGAATTCGAGTAAACATATTTAGGTATTTATGTTAATTATTGTATTTAAATATGAGTATTTTTAATTTTAGTTACAAATCATATTTTATTCAAATATGAATGTAGATTGTTAGTAAATTGCCTTCAAATATGTTTTATATATGATTAAATTCATTTGATATTAATGGTTGTTCATATTTCACATATTTTGTTAAACTGGGACAAACCAATGTTACCAACAATCGAATCGTTACAAAATGAATGCAAGTACAACTAAATTTAAATTATCATAATTATTCACATCTTACAATTTAATTTGTTCTCATGCCACGTGTATTTAGGGAGAAAAGGATTAATTTTAACCAAGAAAAGTCTTCAGCACAATACATTTGTATTGATGAAATTAAATAATTTCTAGACTGTCGTTACATGACTTACACCACATCAGGTAATGCATGCCAGACACTTTTAAGTTTGATGTTAGCTGAAATGCACCTTTTATGTTGCGTATGTCATGTTATTTGTCTGGGGAGAACAAAGTAGTGACAAAGGAGAACGAAAATATTTAAAAAGCTATTAAAAGGATTTATTGAGCGATGATATCATGTTCAATCGTAGAAGAGAGTTAAATTTTCACAATATGAATCTTTCTACTAATGAGATTAAAGATATATGCTTGGCGGAGAGAAAATTATTACAAAAATATTGGAAGTCTCTAGCTAATTTTCTAGGTTTGCCTATTCCATTTGAAGCTTTGAGATTAAATTCTTAAAATTGAATGATCGATGGGGAGTTAAATTATAATACAAATGATTTAATGAAGGAATTCAATATATTGTATCTAAAATTAAATTCAGAGCAGAGGAAGGCATTCCATAAAATTGTTCAAGATGACAATGAAGAAAATGGGAACTACTTCTTTGTTGATGAATTTGGATATATAGGTAAGATATTTTTTTGGAATGTTATTTGTTTGAAACTACGGGCAGAAAAGAAAATAGTATTGTGTATTGCTTCTTCCGATTTGACAACTTTGCTAATTGTTGGAGGTAGAACTGCTCATTCTCGATTTCAGATTTCAATTGACTGTGACTC